GTGTGTGTGTGTGTGTGTGTGTGTGTGTGTGTGTGTGTGTGTGTGTGTGTGTGTGTGCGTGTGTGTGTGTCAGTATTTGAATATGGATCCTGCAGTTCCACACTCATCCCTGCTCTGTTTTGTGGAGTTGTGACGATTTGTTTGTGTCTCAGAGAACACACTGACAGGTTTTGTAGTTGTGTGTTGGTAAAGTAGAAGGAGATTTTGATTTGGAGTAAAAGTGTGATGTGGCCTGTTGTCAAGCTGACTGTAGTCTTGAGAAGTCATGTGTATACTGGTTTGAACTGAGCACAAACTCTGGCGGTCACTGTGTCCAGCTCTCGACGACCAGAACTGTGTCGCTCAGTCCCAACCCAGCCTGAACAATGTGTGGTGGAGCCGTAGTAGGGTTTGGGCTGGGTTGGAATTCAGGCACGAACAGAAGACATGTTAGCCACAGTGCTAGGTTTGGTTTCAGGTCAAACCTTGATGGTTAACCAACTGCAGTAAGGACCTCAACAGTGTGTAGGTCTTGATTTTCTGGGCCCATAATGCTTTAAAGAGGCAAAGTAATATTATTTTATAGATGGTTTTCCTCAGCTTCATTTAGTCAATAATCCCTTAGTTGCTGAAGATTTTGCAGGTAATAGCACACAAACATTATTCTCTGTCTGCATTAATGGTGGCATCTCAAAAACACTACTTCATAGAAGTAGCAAAGAGCAAGATGTCAGATTAAGGGGTAGGAACAAAGTAATATCCCAAAGAGAATTTAAAAATATGTCACTATTGATACTTGTATTTAAAATGGAATGCAGACTCCAAACACAATAGTATTAGAACACGTGGAATTTTGCTATTTCGTACAGCATCTCTTTGGAAAAGAAAACACTGAATATAAATATTATTTTCTTTAATTGATGCCATATTTTAATTTCTGAGGCTTTGCAACTATAAAGCAGTTTATTTAACTTTGTTACCTGGGGGTGTATTTAGTTTTAGGACTGGTGTTTCTGTGTTGAGGTGTGATCAGATTTAATGCCAAGCCAATTTTTGCCACACATTATTTACACTGATATGACTGCTCGTGTGTTTCTGCAGGCTGCTTACCCCAGTTCAAACAGTAGGTGAAGAATCAAAACATAACTCTTCCACTGGGCAGAAAGCAGATACCTGTGTGATCGCAAAAACACTTTTGAGGATGCAGTTTGATAAGTTTACACGCTAAACTTTTCCCCTGAGTAACATTCAGAGTCTATGGTCTGTGCTATTTAAACTGTCAGTGTGCACATGTTCAGACCATCACAGCTCCATAAGAGTGCCAGTGTGTGTGATGGCTCAGGCTCAGACTCAGAACTCATCAGGATTTTTTTTTTTTTCTTCAGGAGACACAGTTTTCGCTCACACAGAGGTGCATCCATAGATTTTGCTGCCTAGAATTTGTATCCTTTTTTTTTAATCATTTCCTCATGTGCTAAAATTTGCTTTGCATTCAATCTGAACATATGTCTGCGTCTTTTCCTTTTCCTTTCCCAGGGTTTGGGGTCAAAGTTGACAACGGTCAGTGCCTACTAGGGGTTCAGAGTTTGTAAGGAAGGTGCTGATAGGAGCTGTGGCAGGGCAAGGTTTAAGGTATGGTTATAGCTGGCTTAGAGCTGATGTATACTGCATGGTGCTGCCCTGGTCGCTGTGCTGACCTGAAGAATGCATGGCTCAAACTAATGATACCTCTCCCTCTCAATCCTGCTCTTTCTCCTCCTCGTCCCCTTCCTGGAAGGGTTATCTATTTCTTTGAATTTTAATAATTACCCTGTTGTTAAACTTCTATTTTGCACGATATATCATGGAACCCATTATGTGCCTTGCCTTTAGTTAAAGAACAATAATACATTATGGAAAAATGATCATACTTTTCATGGTACAGCTGGTAGCACTTAAAAAAAAAGCTGCATGTGTGATTGCTTGACATTAATCAATGTAGCAGGTAGACAGTTGTAGGTTTCACAATGGCTGAGAAACTTTAGAGACTTTAGCGTCAGCTCAGTGAAGGCTGTCATTAGCTTCAGCAGACTTTTCCTCTGCCACCATTCAAGACAGCAACTTATTACAGTGTGGCATTTTGGGAAATAACTGTCTGATGATGTACTCAGAGTACCAATGTCTCTTGCTACTGGAGACACAGTGTGGACATATTTAGCTAAACACATCCAAACCTTTACTTAGTTACTCAAGGTCCATTTACCAAAAATATGTATAGTTTTGAACAACATTCATACAGGGAGATCTAAAGCCCTATTCTACTTCCAGGGTGCCACTGCATCAGGAGTTCTGGTCCACACTCAAGATCCAAACACCTGTTATCATTTGAACATGTATACAACTGAACCATCTCAAAGACAGCCGAGCAAACCAAGAAAAGTGAAAAACTGTCTCCAAGGTAAAGAATGACTGGCCACTTCTGGGTAAAGCTAGAAAAGAACTGTAAATCCCAAAATGTTGCACTGTTCCTTTAAGTACCTTTTCTCAGTCACAACTTTTGCCATAACCAGGTGCTGATTTCACTCACAGAGCTGATCTGGTTCAGTGGCTCTGCTCTTAAAAACCTGTGCTGTCTTTCTGGTGGGTGTGTGTGTGTGGACTGAGCTAAATTGACACTGACATCACTCACACAAGTGTTAAGAATGAACTTGATGTGTGTCGTCCCAAAGTGTGGACACATGGCTGTAGTAGGACCTCCTTGGATCTGAAAATGGCACTTTACAGACGTAACAAACATTGGTTCGGAAAGGAAAGTCTGGTGGTAGGACCTGCCTAAATGTTCACAATACAAGCAAAAGCCATTTTCAGAGACTTTGCTCAGTTCTGTCTACGGTTTGTTTTAACAATAAAATACACACAAACACATTTCATAGTATTTATTGCAGGGGAAAGTCTTTAACTATATTGTGAATATTTTGTCAGGAATTTAGCCAATGTGGCCAAGCCACTAAATCTAGTCTATTGGAAACATGTTAAACATGTTAAGGTTTGGACTTGAAGGCTCTGCAGCTCTATGACTGACCATTAGAACACCGTCCATTTGCCTGTATGATGACTCCTACCATGTGACTAATCACGTGACAATTTACTACAAAAGGCAACGAATGAGTTTGAGTTTGATATGGATGCATGCACTTAACACTATTCTTACTCAACTTGGCTTTTATGTTATTTTTAAGTATTTCTTGAGTTGTTATCTTTATGTTGCTTGTAGATTTATAGTTTAAACACAGCAGTGTGTATAAAACATATGTACAACATAGACACATAAAAAGATGTATAGAATGTTTGTTTGTCATGTTTTTGCTTTTTGTTCCAGCTGTCTTAAGACAGTGGGGAAGCCAATAAATATGGGACCCATGAAATGGGTGGGGCTGACAGTAACGTTTAGGGATGATGAATGATGATAGGTGAGAAGTTGAAGTGAGGGTGAGTAGAATGAAGTTTAGTGCACTGAAAGAGTGCGTACCTCTGCCAAGGCTGCACAGTCCTCTAAATGTGTTGCTTCCATAACAGACAGTGTTGATAGTCATAATGATAGGCAACATTTTTGGAATCCCTAAATCCTTACCTGCAATGTTGGAGCTTCATTTGGGAATTAATTGTGCACACTGGGCTATGACCAAGTAAGTGTTTCTTTTTGGAAAATGCCCTTAAATTCTGCAGAATCTGCAGTTCATGAGTAGAGTTGAACCAAGTTTAGCTGAATTCCACTAAAATGATTTGTGTTTGTTGGAAACAGTACAGCGTATCAAAGAGCAAAGGAATTACCCAAACAAATATGTTTGAAATTTGGTGAGAATGGAATGAAATGTGGGATAGCTAAAAAGGGTTTTACCAAAGATTTTAAATATGGCTGGTTCAGAAGTGAAAAAAAGAGGCTTTCACCATTTGGTAAAAATTATAGTTTAATATGGTCCAGCGTCAGCTCATGGATATTCTGTCAACAACAGTGACTCAAAGTGAAAGGTTCTTTATACATGCCCACATGATACTGGTTGATTCCTCCAGATTTGTAACAGAAATGAACTAAATTGAGTTTATTTTCAGAAAATGTTATTAATCTCTGCAGTCTGTAGTGCATGGTTAAAAACAAGCTGCTTGGCAAAGGGAATTATTCAGAGCTTTATGAAGAGCTACAGCAGCTGGGGCTGAATTTGCTTTTAATACTGACCATGATTATTTACGCTAAAAGCAGCTGGATACATTCACACACACCAGGCCACGTCCTAATTATGGTTTCATGTTTGTCCTCTTTCAGTAAGAGACATTTTTGCTGAATAACATCTTACATAACATGACCAGGATGATAAATTGAAAACTGTCTAATTAACAACACCACGCATGAAGATTGATTGTAATACTCACATGCTGCCACTTGCAGGAGTATAAAGTTTGTGAAATGTGATGATGAGATAGAGTAGTAACCGATGATGGGCCTGAGTGGTTCACCGAGCTGTGATGTTGCTGCGGTCAGGAGCTGGTTGCCTATTGGCAAATGCACTACAAGAAATTAAAGGGAGAATTTCTGGGCTCACTGACGGAAAAAAAGATATCACTCTGTTAAAACAAGTTAAGTTTTCTAGTTTGGTCGCTCCAGGTGAGATTTAAGGGGGTTGACTCAATAACACTAAAACTGGTTCAATATTTTACTGTTCAATTCAATACAAAATTAAAAATTTTTGCTGAAAAAATCCATACTTTTAAAGTAAATCACCTCTTTTAAGATGCATGTCAACCACAGAACCTTTCCCCAGGAACAAGGAACCTTTGCAGGAACTCTGTGTGTTCCCACTGCAGGAACTAGATCCTGATTAAGTTGTATTAAGTATATTCCCCTCCCTATGTCCCTGTTTGGTGGGAATTGCAGCACGGAACATTTCTGATTGTTGATATAGTGTGGCACAAATCCTGCATGTTCGTCATTTTATATGGATTCATCGTTGT